GCCCGGCCGTCCGTTCTGTTCTTTAGACTCCAAAGTCTTAATCCCCTCAGTCTGTCCAAGAACCTTCTACTTCTGAGCACCGCACTAGGTGCCAGAATACAAAAAAAGAAACAGACTAGGGTTGGTTCCTTGGGGAGACTGACGTGTAACCGGATCATTGGAATACAGAAAGATACTCACTGTGGCCTGTAACCGGATCATTAGAATATGGAAAGATATTGTGGCCTGAGTTTTCCAAAGTCCAAGGCAGAAAGGAGAAGGGGAAAAGTTTATTCTTTCTTTGAATCAGTGATCAGTGTCACCTGCTCATTCTGGCCCTGTGCTAGGCACTCGGGGTGTCCAGCAAGACTTGACCTGCCCTTGAACAGACTCTCACAGTCAAGAGTCATCTGGGCCCTGGGGCAGCCCTGACCTAGAAGTTTCAAGGAAATGATGACATTTGAGCTGCATCTTGAAGGAGTAGCAGATTTTATCAAGCACTCACAAGAAGTGAGGGCAAAACAGGCATGCCTGAAGAGGGAACTGCCTGTGTAGAGGTGTGGCTTGATGTGCTTGGGGGGCAGTGAGAAGGTTGGGGTCCCCGGGACAGAGGGCTCCCAGGCTAGTCTGGACAGAGCATAAAGGAACTGGAAGAACACAGAAAACATGGGTGGCTGGGCGTGGTGGCTCACACCTGTAATCCCAGCACTTTGGGAGGCCAAGGCTGGTGGAACACAAAGTCATGAGATCAAGACCATCCTGGCCAACATGGTGAAATACCATCTCTACTAAAAAAAAAAAAAAAAAAATACACAAAATTAGCTGGGTGTGGTGGCGCATGCCTGTAATCCCAGTTACTCAGGTGACTGAGGCAGGAGAATCGCTTGAACCAGGGAGTCGGAGATTGCAGTGAGCCGAGATTGTGCCAGTACACTCCAGCCTGGGTGACGGTGAGACTCAATTGCAAAAGAGAGAAAAAGAAAGAAAGAAAGAAAGAAAGAAAGAAAGAAAGAGTGAGAGAGAGAGAGAAAGAAAGAAAGAAAGTGAGAGAGAAAGAAAGAAAGAAAGAGAAAAAAGAAAGAAAGAAAAGAAAGGAAGGAAGGAAGGAAGAAAGAAAGAAAAGGAAGGAAGGAAGGAAGAAAGAAAGGAAAAGAAAACATGGGAGGCAAGCACAGGGGAGAGAATCAAGCTGGGGGGAAGGCTTGGGCCTCAGCTTGAGTGGGAGATGGGCTCAGGCCTGGAGCCAGAGGCCAGGCCCTGACAGCCTCTCTGGGGACAGTTCCGTCGGACAGCACTGCACCGAGCCTCCCTGGAAGGCCATGTGGAAATCCTGGAGAAGCTTCTGGATAGTGGGGCCACTGTGGACTTCCAGGATCGGGTGAGTGAGAGGGCAGGTATTCAGCGGGAGACAGGAGGTGGGTCCAGCACCAACAGACACCCTCTCCCTGCCCCCTGTGCCAACCTGAAGCACAAACAGGTTGCTGAGGGGCCAGATTCCACCTCAGTGGCTTGTGTGACCTCGAGGAAGCCCCTTCTCCTCCCTAAGCATCCTCTGTGAGTCTGGTTTGGATCGGATGGGCCCTGAGTGTTTTTCTGTTCCACTTGGTCCATTGCCCAGGCCCAGGCTGCTCCCTGTACCTTTCCCCTAGACATCCCTCTGTCCTCCTGGCTGGAGCCCATTCCCCCCGGATTTTTTCTTCTCTGCAGCGCTGTAGTTAGATCCCATCATTTCCTTCTAGCTGGACTGCACAGCCATGCATTGGGCCTGCCGTGGTGGCCACTTAGAGGTGGTGAAACTTCTGCAAAGCCGAGGAGCAGATACCAATATGAGGGATAAGGTGAGGCAACAATGCTCAGAAGCAACAGATATTGGGGTGGCTGTTGGGAGGAAGGCAGGGGTCCGAGGGCAGGAAAGCCCAGGGGGGCAGGAAGGTAGCGAGCTAGTCTGGTTTCTGGCTGCAGAACAGGGAAGCGAAGACAGTGTCCTACGGGGCCTCCCAGCCCCGGGATAGGTCCCTGCCATCCGCACAGGCCCTTGATGAACCACCAAGGGGATGGAAGCAGGAAGAGCGGACAGGAAGGGAGGACAAGAGACTCACTGTCTTGGGGTCTTCGGGACCACTCAAAAGATGCAAGATTTGTTCATGGTATCCATCATTATCCTTCTATCTAGCTCTCTATTCATCCATCCATTTTTCCATTTATTCATCCACTCATTCATTTATTTATTCATGCACCATCCTTCTATTCACTTATTCTTTCATGTACAACCTTGAACAACTGACAGCCTCTGAGCTTTTGTTCCTCATCTGTAAAATGTCTTGCAGAGTTCTTGTGTAGATTAGGTGAGAAAACATACGTAAATAAATTATTTATTCAACATAAGGCAAATGTCTTGTTTTTGGTTTGTTTGTTTGTTTGTTTGTTTTCTGAGACGGAGTCTTGCTCGGTCACCCAGGCTGGAGTGCAATGGTGTGATCTCGGCTCACTGAAACCTCTGCCTCCTGGGTTCAAGTGATTCTCCTGCCTCAGCCTCCTGAGTAGGTGGGATTACAGGCGTGTGCCACCACGCCCAGCTAATTTTTGTATTTTTAGAAGAGACGGGGTTTCACCATGTTGGTCAGGCTGGTCTTGAACTCCTGACCTCAGGTGATCCACGCACCTCGGCCTCCCAAAGAGCTAGGATTACAGGCGTGAGCCACTGTGCCCAGCAAGGCAAATGCCCTGTAAGCTTTTGCCATGTCTATCCCATAGTCATCTCTCAATAAATAACATCTATTATGATTATTAAAAGAAGGGTAGACGAGTGAGCAGCTGAGTGAGAGGAGAATCATAGAAGGCTTCCTGGAGGAAGTGCCATTTAAGGCTTTAGAGTTAGCCCATTGGATGGGATGGTAGGAAATTATACCATTCTCTGCCCCTCCAGGGCTCAGGCCTTGGCACTAGGACGTGGAAGAGGGATTAAGCTGGAGTTAGAACAGCCCCGCCTCCCCAGGGGTACCACAGTTCAGGCCCTGTCAACCAGCAGTTCCTGATTCCTCCCACCCAGCTGCTGAGCACCCCCCTGCATGTGGCAGTCCGGACAGGGCGCATGGAGATTGTGGAGCACTTTCTATCCCTGGGCCTGGACATCAATGCCAGAGACAGAGTGAGTGTCAGCCTGCCTGCTGCTCACCCCGCCGTGGGCATGCGGGCAGCCTGCAGGCTCCTGCAGGTGGTGTCCTTACTCCTGGGGCCTTCAGGACTTGGCTCCTGAGCAGGGTCTCTAGACCACCTCCCATCACCCTGCCCCCTCCCACTGCCCACAAGGTCCATACTGAGTGCCACACTGACTCTAGGAAGGAGACACTGCCCTGCATGACGCTGTGAGACTCAACCGCTACAAAATCATCAAACTGCTGCTCCTGCATGGGGCTGACATGATGACCAAGAACCTGGTAAGCTCATTCCCGCCCTGATTCAGTCATGGGTGTGAGCATTCACATAGTGGGAGGGGCTGTCCAAGCCCCTGGGGGACCCCCAACTAGGGACAGGTATCATTGGCTCTGGCCAGTACCATAGCACATAAAGTTGTTCTCTTCCAGAGCACCACTCCAACTGCCCGCCCCACTCTATGTGTGTCTCTATGTCCAGAGGGCAAGTGCAGAGAGACAGTAGGAAGGGCAGCAAGAGGCCTTCCCAAAGACGTCCCAAAGACCCCAAGAGGACTTCCCAAAGAGGGGGTGCTCACATGCAGGCCCAAGAAGGCCAGAATCATGAAGAGCTGGAAGGGTCTGAGCACTCGACTGGCATGACAATTCCTAGCACACCATGTCAGCTCCTGCGGGCCTTTAAGTTTTCTTAGAATCTAGGCAGGAAGTCCTTGGAAGGAGAAGGTGCCCAGGGAACACCTTGGACTAGGGGACACTTTGTCCTAGTTCTTCTTTGGGGCCCAGAGCATTCACAAAAGGAGGGCATGGGAGAGTCCCTCGGGCTCAAGAAAGGCTAAGGGGATAATGAGAAAAGCAGGAAGATATGGAGAAGGTAGAAATGAGGTTTTTCAACCCCAGCATTATTGACATTGCAGGCTGGGTGATTTCTTTTTGTAGGAGACTATTCTATGCATTGTAGGATGTTTAAGCAGCATGCTTGGCCTCTGCCCACTAGATGCCAGTAGTGCCCATCCCCCAGGGTGACAACCAAAAGTGTCTTCACACATTGCCGGTTGCCCCCATATGAGAAGCACTGTGGTATAGATGAGGGTACTTCCTGGGAAAGCCTTCAGGACAGTGAATAGATTTTCTCTTGGCCCCTGCAGGCAGGAAAGACCCCCACGGACCTGGTGCAGCTGTGGCAGACTGATACCCGGCACGCCCTGGAGCATCCTGAGCCGGGGGCTGAGCATAACGGGCTGGAGGGGCCTGATGAGAGTGGGCGGGAGACCCCCCAGCCCGTGCCAGCCCAGTGAACCCCTGCCCCAGCCCAGCCAGCTACCTGGCCCCTCCCTGTGTGCAGCCAGAGGATCCTAAGAATGTCTCCCAGAGCTCACCGAGGGCCCAGCCTTTCCTCTGCGTGGTGCAGGAGCACCCACAAACTACCACAATAAAAAGGCTGTTTTTGCTAATTGTGATGTTCATTTCCATTTGTGTCTGAAATATTTAGGAAGGAAGAAAGACTGGGCCACATGTAGGCTTGGGGAGGAGGGAAACTGGGAGCCAGTTGGGCCTCGAAGCCAGCCCTGCAGCTTCCCTGCCGTGGTCTCTTTTCGTTTCTTCCCTGTCACTCAATTTTTCCTGCCCTGTCCCATGTCTCTGGGGCCAGGCTTGGCCCCTGCATGGATTGACTTGGTGATACACTCATCCTGGTCCCCCTTCCTGGTGACTGCTGTCCTGTGGGGCTGTGTGTGGCTAGCACAGGCTTGTCGTGTGGCTGTCTTGGCAGGAGGAGCCTGGCAGGGGACTGGGGCAGGGGAGGGACAGCCTGTCACAGGCAGCTTCTTACCCAGCCTTGCCACGCCTCCCACAGGGCAGGGCCTGCTCAGCCAATCAGCTCCACCAGCCTCAGAACTGCCTGTGGAAACCTGGTGGTGCTTCCGGCTTTGGGGCTGGGAATGGTGGGAGGAGGGCCCAGATCCCACTGGAGATACCCTTTAATATTCGGGTCCCAGAAACCAGTCCTACATCTGGCCAGAGGGACACTGTTTTGTGGCATTTCTCCGGCTACTACCCAGAAGGAAGAGGGACCCTGGGGCCTATGTGCCTTGCCCCTGACCCTGGGGACACTCAGCTCAGGCCTGCCCCAGTGGCCACAAGTCAGGGAGGCCGCAAATTTTTAACTAGACACATTGATCATTAATAGGGGGTTAGAAAGAGTCCAAACTAAGTCTCACTCTGGGACACAGACCAACTGTGCCTCTGGCCTCCTGCAGAGATGCTGGGTCCCCAAGTCTGGTCCTCTGTGAGGCAGGGGTTGAGCAGGGGCTTGTCCAGGAATGTGAGGGGCTGGGCCTCAGGGGAGGGGAAGAAGGTGGACATTGCGGGCATCTACCCCCCTGTGACCACCCCCTTCACTGCCACTGCAGAGGTGGACTATGGGAAACTGGAGGAGAATCTGCACAAACTGGGCACCCTCCCCTTCCGAGGTAAGCGGGGCTGTCCTCTGTGGGAGTTGGGGAGATGTGAGTGGCCCTATTCTCTTTAGCCAGAAAACAAGGGAAGGTACACAGGCTCTGTCAAGCTGTCCAGGGATATTCTGGTACTCAGTGGGTCACTTTATTGTGGGAGAGGAACAGGTGGGACTGATCTGGAATCAGGAGACAGGCAGGAAGCTCCTTGCTGGCCTGTAACCTTAAGCCAGACCTCACCTGCTTCCATTTACCCAGCTGTAAACGGCTAAAGTGCCTTTGTAGCTCCCAGAGTTATTCTGGGGTTGGACTAGATAATGGGTGTGAAAGTCCTTGTCAGCCTTGCAGATATGAGGACATCTGGCTGCAGTCACGTGGCAGCCCAGCCACAGTCCCAGCTTCCTCAAAAGTTTTTTTGCATGTTCTCTTCTGGACAAAGACGCCTTGGCAGAATTAGTTTTCTCTGTTGTGGCTCCTGTGACCCCCATCTCTCTATATACATGGGTCTCCCCTGCTTTGAGGTTGGGGACCAGAAGATATTTGCGACACTCAACATTTAACAGAGTCCCTGGCACAATAAATGAAGGTAGAAGAAAATGGCAAGTCCTGCCTGCCCTGCTCCGCCCAGCGCGTTCCCATTCCTTACCGCGCAATCCCCTGAGGTAGTGCTCTCTATAGCACCATCCCACAGATGGGAACCTGGGGCTCAGAGTGACATGGTCACCACCCAAGGCCATTCAGCTAACACATAGCTGCACCTCCTCTGACTGCATGCCCATGCTCTGCTTCGCTCCCTCGCTGACTCTCGTTATAAACCTTTCGGAGCTGCTAGACCACACTATTTCAACAGCACACCTGGTTGGCACTAGCTTTGGGAATGGTATGGTTCCTAGTGAGGCAGTATCGTGTAGGCCGTGGACTCTGGTTTCAAATCACAGCTCTGGGCTGGGCACAGTGGCTCTCGCCTGTAATCCTAGCACTTTGGGAGACCAAGGTGAGCAGATCATGAGGTCAGGAATTCAAGACCAGCCTAGCCAACATGGTGAAACCCCGTCTCTACTAAAAATATAAAAGTTAGCTGGGTATGGTGACAGGTGCTGGTAATCCCAGCTACTCAGAGGGCTGAGACAGGAGAATCGCTTGAAACTGGGAGGCGGAGGTTACAGTGAGCCAAGATCACACCGTTGCACTCCAGCCTGGGTGACAGAGCAAGACTCCATCTCAAAAAAAACAAACAAAATCAGGCCAGGCGTGGTGGCTCACACCTGTAATCCCAACACTTTGGGAGGCCAAGGCAGGTGGATCAGCTGAGGTCAGGAGTTCAAGACCAGCCTGGCCAACGTGGTGAAACCCTGTTTCTAATAAAAATAAAATTAGCCAGGTGTGGTGGTGGGCGCCTGTAACCACAGCTACTCGGGAGGCTGAGGCAGAAGAATAGTTTGAACCTGGGAGGCAGAGGTTGCAATGAATTGAGATGGCACCTCTGCACTCCAGCCTGGGAGACAGAGCAAGATTCTGTCTCAAAAAAATAATAATCAAATAACAGCTCTGGCACTGACTTACTGTGGGATGATCCCTATAGGACACATGGGAGTGATAATGCTCATATTATGGGATGATTGGACAAAAAATCTGAGAGAATGAAAGTGAAAGCATGCTGTAAACTATAGAGCCATATACATTGGAAGGTACCGATTCCGACGGCAATAATGATTAAAATGACAGTGTGATTGGCATTGCAGCAAAGCTGCTTTGTGACTGTGACCTGGCCTGATGGACACGTTGATCATTCATAGCTCAGTACTGAGGGAATGCACCCCTTCTTTGGGGATAATGAATGCCCTGTGGAGGCCCACATTGAGCAGGGACACACCGTCTAAGTTTCTGCTGGTGTTTGGCTTGTGGGGCCTGGAGGTTTGGTGAAGGCCTGGTTCTCTTGAAGTGAGAAGCATTTTGAGCCTCTAAGTGAAGCTCTTGCTTCAGCTTCAAGGTTGAAGGACGCTCTAGTTCAGAGTGGGGAGGGTGGACTTTGCATCTGCTCTTTGCCTACCACCCAGAGAATCCACAAAGATCCCCAGACTCTTCTCTGGACCCTCCCTTCCATGCCATTCACCTACCCCTGCAGAGGACATGGGATGCCCAGGAGCACAGGCTTCCGTGGACTTGGCGGGCCATGGGCTGCACATACCCACTTGTCTGTCTCCTTTACAACCCATGTAGTCTCCAACGCCCATCTGATCACTCATCCCCATACCAGAGAGGAAGTGGGCTGTGGTAGGAAGAGCCCAGCATCTGGAGTTAGAGTTGTGGGCAAGAATCCTGCCAATTCTGCCAGTTGCAGAGACCTTGGGGAAATCACTTAACCTTTCAAATCCGGTTTCCTCATTTTAGAATAGGAACTGAGTCTTTAGGCTCCAGGCCACAGGGTCAACATAATCCTCCCAAGGCACTGTCACGGAGAGCACAGAGGTAGAGGGTCCCGTTCCTGCTCCCAGGACGCAGCCAAAATGCCCAGGAAGGAAGATGCAAAAAACTTTACCTCTGAAATCTGTGTTTCTCTTGCCTGTCCTGGCCACTGAGGTAGACTTTGCAGCCCAATACTCAGAGGCTCAGAGGAGGGAACATATCACATTGTAAGGGCCTTCTGCAGCCAGTTAAAGGTCCTCTAAAGAGAAGGTGGGGGCCAGGCACAGTGGCTCACTCCTGTAATCCCAGCACTTTGGGAGGCCAAGGCGGGAGGATCTCTTTCGGAGACAAGCCTGGGCAACATAGGGAGACCCTGTCTCTATTTTTTTTCCTGAGGCGGAGTCTCGCTCTGTCACCCAGGCTGGAGTGCAGTGGCCTGATCTCAGTTCACTGCAACCTCCACCTCCTGGGTTCAAGTGATTCTCCTGTCTCAGCCACCTGAGTAGCTAGGATTACAGGCGCGTGCCACCACGCCTGGCTAATTTTTCTATTTTTAGTAGAGATGGGGTTTTGCCATGTTGGCCAGGCTAGTCTCGAACTCCTGACCTCAGTTGATTTGCCTGCCTCAGCCTCCCAAAGTGCTGGGATTACAGGCATGAGCCACCGCACCCAGCCTGTCTCTATTAAAATAAATAAATAGGAGGTGGGAAGCTGCCCTGCATGAATCAGTGAAGTGTTAGGGATTCTTCTGGAAAGCACTGCCTGAAACTATGAAATAATGTAGCTCTTTTTTTTTTTTTTTTTTTTTTTT